GATAAACTCGAAAGACCTAAAACGCGGGTCAAGATTGGAATAATAATATGTAAGTTTCATTCTGATCCTTTATTCTTTTGTATCTCAGTTTTTTTTTTTAGTTTTATAATGATATAATAATCTATTGAATATTCTGTAATCCGTGGTTACAGGCCTTGTCGCCTTGGTTTCGACTTTCGAACACGATCTAAAAACTAAAATGTATATTATTATGGTATTTCCACAGCTGATCTGTGGGTATATAATCTTAATTCGTGGTTTCCAATAATGAAATCAAATTTATAACGTCTTTGAAGAAATGGTATATTTTGTTTCTATGATTTTGTAYATTCAAGCAGTGGTATATTAATTCAGTAACACGGTATAATTGTAACCTCAAAATACCGGTGAAATATTGAAAAGTAGCCAATCGTGGTCGAGAATGTACGGTTATTGCKGCTTTTGGAGATAATGAGATGAATATATGATGATACCAATGTATTAGCATTGGCATGTGTGTTGTATATTGTATTGCTTCAATGAACTTRATTTTAACGGTTGAGGCTTGAGTTTAATTAAGTATATTACATATAAAGTAATACTTACGAATTAATCTAGTTATAAAACTTCTGTTTATTGTTTGAAATTATAAAACAAAAACTATCGTTAATAAAATATATTACAATTCATAAGTTTCAAGTTAAACGATAAAGAAATGTACCGTTAAATAAATTTGCAAAAAACCAACAAAATGACGTCGAATTCAAACATTTTTTTAACAAGGACATTTAAATCTACACTCAGTTCTTTATTATTCACGTATGTAACAGCGTTCTTATTATCACTTCGGTCGATTCTTAGCTTCACATTCAGCTTGTATTCATTATTGTATATGCCGGCTGTATTGGTAGCTGTTTTATTGTTCATTATAACCAGCTCGCGTAGGTATGTGAGATCCAAATCACCTTGTACAAATCGTTTTAACAAAATTGTCAAAGGATTTTCGATTCAAACTACATTACCAGCGGCATTGATTTCGGTCAGCACATGGTTTCTGTCTAATATTAATCCATTCTGTCAAGATGAAAACATTTGCCATGTACTCAATATTGGAWGTGCTCTAGCTGGCGTTTTATTCCATTAYGAAAATGTTTACTTTGAACAAGACTTTCACTTTCCAATCATTCAAACCACAAAATATTCAATGTTTATGTCTAAACTCTCAGAGATTATATTTAAGTCAATGAAAAAATCATTTTTGTATCTATTATTCATATTTATTCCGTTATATGTGATTGAACCAAAATTGTGTTCTAATGTTTATTTTTTTGTGATTCTATGGTTTTCAATATCATTAGTCTTATACTTGTTTTATTCATTTGAGCACATTTTATTCTTAACTATGACTGAACGTGTTATATTTCCAATTGTGACCGTAAATCAAGACGATAATTGTTTACTTAATGCTTTGAATGTTGATAATAAAATTATAAAATCATTAGCACTTTATGATCTTTATCAAGCTACAATTAAAGATGCAGAAAGAAGAAAAGACATATTTAGCTTAAGTTTTGCGGGAAATGTTCCTCAGAGTTGGAAAATTATATTTAACTATTGTATAAATAACATAACATCCACCACGGAGGACATGAAAAATTTAGTTAACCATGTACCACTTAAGTTAATCAATCGGCGAAATATAAGCAATGCCAGATTAATACATATTAATGGTAGTATCATTAACAAACCATCTGAAGAAAATTTAAATCAAAATAGCATATTATTAAAGTTTTTCGAAAAATTCTGGCTGTATAACTACTTTTTTGGACCATTGGATAAAGATAAATTACTAGAAGACTTTGAAGCAACAGTTTGGTGCTGTTATATACTTTCAAATTTAGCTGTAGTTTCATTAAAGGAAGATGAGTATGGTGTAGTCAGAGAACAACTGGGGAAAATTGTTAGTACAATTTTGGATTTAAAAAATCAACTAGACGTCCAACAAAGGAATTTTATCAACCAGAAGACCAAGAAAATTGAATACTTAAAAACACATGTTAAGACTTGTGCTGTGATGCTA